GAAAACCACAGTATTAATGAAAGTATTGCCCAAAGGTAATGTTTCCACCTCTCTGCTAGACTGTGAGAATGGCTTTCTTTGGTTCATACTCAGCATTTTCCAAAATACAGGGGGGTTGAGTTGATGCCAAAGACTTTTACTTTAGTTTCATCTGACCACAGCACTTCTCAGAATCATTTAAATGTTCTCGGTCAACCCTAAGATTGGCCTGTACATGCGCTTTGCAGGTTCCGGAAGATTCCATTATAGCACAGGTACGATCTGATATTGTTGTGTTGGAGTTGTTTCTGGATCAACGGCGGTAATGTTGATCCAAGTTCAACATTTCAAGGAACTAATCACATTGTAGTGATGTCATAGTTCAGCATCTTGGAAACACCATCACACCAAACCATAACCCTAACCCCAGAACTCTAACCCTAACCGTAACCACGATCATATCTTAACCCCAACCCTAATTTTGACCCTAACGGCTCCTTTTTTGGATTTTCTTCCTGAGTGGACATCGGCAAGTATTTTTCTCTAAGTCGCAAAGCTATGACATCGTAACAATGCGACTGGTCAGATGAAATGTTGATCCAGGAACAACACCAAAACGAGAATATCAGATAGAGCACAGCGTATTGTGTTACCAGGGGTGTTCTTGGTAACAGTGGATCCAACTGCCACATGGATACACAGCCGATCTGTAGCTCCCTCAGATGCCTCCCTGGGTAATTTCACAGAAAATCCATTTCTAGCTTTTTTTTGGCTGAAGTATTATTATGATTGTCTCTCTATATTAAAATTAAACTGCCATAAAAATTAGAGACTGTTCATTTCTTTGTATGTGAACAAATTTACAAATTCAGCAGGGGATCAAATTATTATTTGCCCATGTGTATTTGAGAGTTTTTACGAAAGGATGCAGAGGATGAATACATGCATAGACTTATTCAAAACGGTTTCATAACATACAGCATGTAAATACCATACAAACACTCTATACATAACAGGGAGAAGTTTACCGCATAAAAACAGAATTCAGAAATATTACAAGGAAAAAATTGAAATAATGAACCTTTTCAATTTCAGTTCAATTCAATTTTATTTATATAGCGCCAGATCACAGCAACAGTCCCCTCAATGCTTGGTAGACCCTACAATAATACATACAAAGAAAAAAACCTCAAAATCATATGACCCCCTATGAGCAAGCACTTTGGTGACAGCGGGAAGGAAAAACTTCCTTTTAACAGGAAGAAACCTCCAGCAGAACCAGGCTCAGGGAGGGGCGGGGTCATCTGCTGTGACCAGTTGGGGAGAGAGAAGAAAGACAGGATAATATTACAAAGAAGAACACATTTTGTTGCCTTTGGTTCAGGTCAGATCATGTTGGGGAGTGCACTTATCCCCTACTGGGATTGCATAAAATTTACACATGCACCCCACTGTCAGTAGCATCCTCGGGCAAAACAATAACCTACTTATGTGACGTGGTGGAAAGCAGGCTGCATCAGTCCTACATATGACCAACTTCCAAACTTTCCATTTACGGAGAATAGTTAGTTAACAAAAGCTGTATTACCAGGAATTTATTATTGATGGGTTTTTTTGGCAATCCAGAGAGAGTGTAAAAGGCAGTGTACACTTTCAGAGCAACTAAATTCACTTGCAAACACAAAATATGTTTCCGTGTCCCTGCTGTGCTGCCTGCTCGCTCACCTGCAGGGAAGACAGGAGTAAGGTGAATTGCTTTAGTCTCATGAGCCTTAAAATTGAATTGCATCACCAAGGAGAAAAGGGCCAAATATTCAAGAATGAGAAGAGATGTGATGATGTCAGCAGCTCTGAGGCAAGCACTTTTCCCCTTTTTTTTCAGGATAGCAGCATGCATGGATGATGTGCATGTGTTTGTGTGTCATTGTAGAGATGCCTCTATGCTGAGTTGAACAGCCGGATGGGTTCAGGTTGTCATTAAGGGAAAGTTGAGTAAAGCAATGGGCTGAAACTCATTTTTATTATCTCCATATCACACTCTTGACACTTTTCCTTCTGCTTTTTTCCTCTTCCTGACCTCTCCCACCATTATTCCCTCTGCTGGACTTAAATCTTCCTCGCTCACCGTCTGCCTTCACTTTTGTGTTGTTCGAATTTCTTTCAAGTCATTATTTTCCGTCCAATTTCCACCACAATTTCTCACCTCATTTCACTTGAGATCCTTTTTCGTCTTCATTTGCATGGCTCAACCATAAATATTCCTCTGTCCTAAACACATACACACACGCACACACACACACACACACTACCATACACTGTAATTAAACTCCCCCAGGGGCAGTTTGGGGGTTAGCAGTGAGAAGAGACGAGGAGAAAGTGAGCGATAATGCCACTTCAAAGCGGCTGCAGACTGGCTCATTCCCCTCAAGCTTCAGATGGATTAAGGCCACTTCTGGCCTTTTTTGTACCCCATCAGCTCCACTTGAGTTCAACACAGAGCACCCTCTTTGACAAATGTATCCCGGTACACTCCAAACTCAACAGGCAACGGAAAACAACTCCTCAAGAACAAAAAGTAGGCACAATGAGCCGTACTTTGAGTGCTACACACTAATTGCAAATGTGGGAATAATTTAATGATTTGTTATTTTACTGTGAGGTTGACGTGATTCAGTCCAGATTCAACAAACATTTTTTTATAGCTTATCTAGCAAGCTAAGTAGTGAGATAAAGCTAATTCTCGCTAAGCTAAAATTGATTGTATATCCACACAGCTATCTAAGATCATCAAAACACTCTTTAACACTCACTGGACAACTGTTTTTCTCATGTTGTCCAACAAATCGATCATATTAAAGCTTTGTTCCTGCTGCCTGTGTCTGTAAAGTGAAGCCAGCAGTTTTATATAAATCACTGGCAGCTGCAGAAGCGCCTTAAATCTGCATTCTTTCTAATGAACAGTAGGGGGCGACGTCTTTGTTTTAAAAAAAGATAAGCTCCAATCAAGTACCAGATCCTACATAGGACAAACAGTTGATAAGATTTGCCTACTAATTAGGCAATATGCTTGGTTTATTGACAACTACATGTGAAGCCATATTCTTTGATAACTGCATGCAGAGACTGCTGAGATTACAAGTTTATTCCAGTTTGCAAAGACGTTTGTATTGTTCATGTTCAGCTCAACGACTCTACACAGGGGGGTCATAATAACTGTGTACTGACAGTAAATGTAATACTATGACTGCAGTGTTGATCTTTACCATCTCCCTCTGATCTCTGGTAAATGATGAAGTATTCCTCTTATTTTAAACCTGACATTAAATCTGCATATGATTTCTTATCATTTCTCCAAACACATTAACCTCTAAAAAGAAGTTTTCCAAAAATAAATCTGTCAGCATCATGCTTCATGAAAACAACTGGCGTGACCACCAGTAAGGTAAAGATTCAAGGGTGGGGTTTTTTTTGTCTCTTCTTTTTTTATTTTGCAAGCTGAAACCAGAGGTCACTGGAGGAGACTGTGCTCGTCTGAACCTAAGTTGAGTGATAAAACTGTCAGCGGCACAGCAAAGAGATATGAATGTTGTCATCTTAAATTGTTCTTATAACCTTGAAAGACACTGAAGAGCAAAGAGAAGAAAGGAGAGGAGCAGGGCGTCACATCGGCATCTTCTCCCTGAAGCAAAAGAGACGTTAAAGGGGCGTCTGTTGAGAATGTTAATCATGTATTGATCTGTGTAATCTGTGTCCCTGAGTACCTATACATGAGCACAACGGACAGCATTTTGCCACACTCCAGGAGAAACACTGGCCCAATTTTATTCTTAATAAGGTGCCCAAGCTTTGCAGGACCCTTGTGTCCCCTTTATTGACCTACTACTGCATGTTATTCTCTTTAAGAGACCATATAGGATACACAATTAGTAAGATTTTATGTGCCTGCCAGAGCCCTTTCATTTGATTGAGTGGGTATGGGATCAATAGGTCCTTCGATTGCACATAAGAGCCCTTTTACTGACAAATCGCACTCACAATTGATTTCCTGTTTATAGATTCATTCCTATTATTAATTTCTACACATATACAGTTCATGTTTTATTAAACGTTGCATGGGATCACTTTTTCCTTCCTTTAGCTTCTGGAATCCCATTCCAGCTTATGTAATGTTAGGAATCATTAAATGTCTTTAGAAATGTTTTACCTTTGTGTTGCATCATTTGTAAATGATGTACAGACGATTCTAAATTAACGGTTGTGTCGCAAGGTCTAAGAGAGGCTGAAGCTATGGCATTTAAATGCATTTATTGCACTATCATAGACATCAGTGTTTCTCTTACATCCACAGGAAAGTGAAAGTTTTTAGTGCAGTTTTACTATTGGAAGATCACTGGCACCAGAATTCGGTAAGGCTGTTGGTGCACAAAAGATGATGGGGGGGGGGGGCAAACTAACAATCCTAAACAGCAACAGTGACATCATCACATCACAAATGCATTTTTTTATTTAGATATTGTAACTGTCCATACATTCTCACCCAGCTACTCTTCGGTTAGGGTCAGGCATGAAAAACTACTTATTTGACTTGGGAAATCATAATGTAAGGCATAATATGCATTATGTGTTAAAAACTTAGCTTAAAGTGGTGTTAAGGCAGCAAGGTGACATGGTGGATAGCACTGTTGCCTCACAGCAAGAAGGTCCAGGGTTCAGATCCACTTGGATCCAGTCTCTGTGTGGCCTTTCCAGCGTCCTCTCAGATCCAGATGTATTGATATTGCAATAACACATGTGCACAGATAGAACAGTGAACGTCTGTGCTTTATAAATGATTGATTGGTTAAAGCGTTTCAGACTGCTTCATTAAAAATAGCTGACAACAGGCACGGATATGTTACTTTTTGTCTAAAATGATGATTTCTCTTTGGAGGATTGGTTTGTTTTTCGCAAGTAACTTATAAGCGAGGACTGATGCAAGTGTGTGCGTGTGTTTGTGAGGGAGAGAGAGAGAGTCATAAGCCGTGGCTGCACGTTGCACTCTGCAGCACTTGCGCACTTCTTCCACCTCTCCGCATACTGAAATCCTCTCTGCGCCGACTTTCCATCACAGCCAGCCTGGAAGTCTGCCGGTGGTCGAAGGGCCGTCGTTGTGAGGTGTCCACCGAGACAACTGAGAACGGCATCGTGCACCACCACCACCCCGTCCCTTTCCCCACCCTCCCCTTAACCCTCCTCCTCTCCTCTGGCCGTTGTTGCGCTTCTGCTGCTGCAGAGTCCAAGTTCAGGTGAGCCCGGTCTCCGGTACAACAAGTACCTCCTCTCTCCGGTACCCTAACCGGGGGATGCTCGCCTCCTCCCGTTAAACGCCATGCTATAAATGGGCCGCACAGGATGTGAAGCCTCACCAGAAGAAGCAGGAGGATGGCTAAACCAGGCTTGTCTGCGGCGGTGCTGCTGCTCCTGCTGGGCTTCCTCTCAGCGTCCTCCGTTAATGCCGGTGAGTTTTACCACAGGTTGATGAGCGATCGTTGCGAGTAAATGTGAGTTGATGCACCGGGCCGATTAAACACATGTCGTTGTGCTTTTATTTTAGTATTATTTGGCAGCAGCTGACTGATGTCATGCATTTGGTGTGCATTTCATCCCTTTTTGGGAAGCCACCTGACGTGACACACTGCATGTGCGTGCATCAGCTATAGGTGGACACAGTGAGCTTTAGTGATGCCAAAAAAATGGCTGACACAAGTTGGTCTCACACTGCATCAGAGTGACAGTTTAATCCCAGTTTGTATAAATGTTTCTAGAAAAGTGTCATTCAAAAAAAACCCAGTCTTTGTGGCACCATGTGATTGGCTCAGTAAGTTCTCAGATGACTGTTAAATTCAAGTAAAGACTAAACGAGCATTAGAGCTTTACATTTTAGTTGACTAACTGACCAATCAGTGGTCATTTTCTCAGATGTGAGTATTTGCCACTTTCTCTTGTGTCAGACAAAACAAGATATTAGTGAGCATCATTTTGGCTCCTGGAATATTTCAGTTGGCATTTTTTCACCATTTTCTGAAAATTCTTCATTGTTTGGGGAGATAATCTCTAGTAGCTGCTTTAAAAATGTGCAGGTTCATCCATCCAGTGTCCTGAAGGGATGTGAAATGTGATTGAGTTACTTCCATGTAAAGCCTCTACGTACAGCAGGTCCAATCCTCCTATATGTTCATGCGTGTGTGGGGTTGGGGGCTGGGGGACTATCTCATCTATCTTGTACGATATCGCATGTTTCTAACCTGCGGCAACATATGTTCATCTCATGCGTAAGATCTTGGTTACACTGCATCCTGATGATAAGCTGATAGATGACAGTCGCGTGAAAAGCCCAAATCTTGGCAATAAGCTCATGTGGGATTTATCTCGGCCTCTAGAGATTTGATATTTTGGCTTCCCGAGGCTGGGAATGGATGTAGTTTTAAGAGGGAATTTTTGTTAATCTGCAGCAAACGCTTTAAGAATGGACGGGAATCCCTCTCTGCCATTGCATTGTTTCTGTGTCTGTGTGAGAACAGGAAGATAAACAGCGAGAAAACGGCCAGTCAAACAGGGAGTCATAGCGATGGATCATGCCCGTACAGTACTTGGGAACACATCACACATTTACTCTGCATCAGCAAACACACACATACACACACATTCACATGCAGCCTTTGGGAGCCACTCAACTGAGTTTGTCGCCTACCAAAAATGAATTTCACCAACATGATGTAACACACTGTACTGTGATGATTGTGTTATCAGCAAGCAGAAAGGGAGGGAAGAAAATAAAGTACATTCTTGTTTTTCCTGTAACAACACTTTTTAACTCCAAGAACAAGTCTCAAGATTGTGTGCTCAATATTTGCAGCGGTTTAATGCAACAGTGTCACATGACTGACGGCGTTTCTCCTGGTAACAATATTTTCAAAGAAAAAGCTTGAAAGGAGCTTGTCCAGTCAGAGCTAAAAAATGGTGCAAATAAAATCAAAAATTGTTTTTCCTGTGCAATTGTGCAACAATGGGCTGACTTCAGCGGGAGGACAGATGGTAGAGCGGCCAGGAGTTATAATAATAATAATGGATTGGATTTATACAGCGCTTTTCAAGGCACCCAAAGCGCTTTACAATGCCACTATTCATTCACTCTCACATTCACACACTGGTGGAGGGAGCTACAGTTGTAGCCACAGCTGCCCTGGGGCAGACTGACAGAAGCGAGGCTGCCATCGGCCCCTCTGGCCAACACCAGTAGGCAAGTAGGGTAAAGTGTCTTGCGCAAGGACACAATGACCAGGACAGAGAGGCCAGGGATCAAACCGACGACCTTCCAGTTACAGATGCGATTCCCAACCCCTGAGCCACGGTCGCTCAGGGGTTGGGAATGACCATTAATTTCCTTTTTTAATGGCACGAAATGACAAAAACAGATAGTGAAGTACAAACTGTGCACAGGCCAGAAACAGCTATCCACTGCTGCTGACCATAGACTGTATATAAAAGACAGACATAGCAATGGCGGCATCACCCATTGATTCCTTGCTCTCTGTTTTTTAAAGTCTTCTGGCTGCCATCGTGTTAGTTTTATTAGAGCCAGAAGTGAAGATATATGAACAAACACTGGTGTTCAGTTCACCGGTTCACCTTTTGAAATGTGTTTGGCTGCAGCAGTAAGACACAGGTTTCACTCAAGTGGTCTCCAGTTCTGGTTTTCACCTCATCTTTTCCACGTTTTACTACCACTCAGCAAGCAGTTGATGAATATTTGCAGACAAATCCTTCATGCAAGTTACAGACAGCCACCACAGTCTGCAAGCAACCAAAGCGATTACAAGGATTTTTTTTGTAAACCCATGGCATGAAGCTCCTGGTGCACAGCTTTTATGCTGATGTTAATATCAGAGGTTTGTAGCTCTGCAATTACAGAGTCAGCAGAGTGTTGGGTCGAGTTGCTGTGGTTCTTAAATATATATGTGCAATAATACTGTGTGCAGTTTATTGTTGAGTATCTTGAACTGGAAGAAATTTCAAAAACGGACTTGTTGGTATCATCCTATTACAGCGAGCTCTTTAGAATAACTTGTGCTAAAGAGGTAGACTGCATGAATGGGTGCTTGACCTTATTCAGCTATGGCCATGGGACTGAAAACACCTGAATTCAGAGATAAAGAGGTGTGGCCAAATATTGGGTATATGCAAATTAGTGCCAACTACCAGACTAATAAGAAGCACAAAATTCTTGAATGGTTTTTACTCCTCATAAACATCCACTAAAATGTCTCCAAAAGACTCAGCAGAAACACAGTGGACAGTTCAGTGACTCCAGTTATAGTTTGCAGGTGTCATTTAATCTATCAAAGATTTTGATTAACTGGAATTTCCGCGTATTCAACAGAATATTTATGTGACAAAATAGATAAATGTCCCTCTCAGTGACAGTTTCATGTGTGTGTGCACATGGGCGTTATCATCCTTGTGTGTACGATGTCAAGGTCTGATTCTGATGTTGCTTTACAAGTCAGGCTCATGGGAAATACAACTCTGTCTGTAATCGTAGAAGACCATGAGTTGGTCTTAACTCTCACATAACCATACACACTTTACTCTCTGCTACCTTCGCAGCTAAGAAATGAAAAATGTTAAGAAAGACTGTAATTTAGTCCGTCAAAGTTAATTTTCTGATTGATAAATGCATCGTGTTTTTGTTTTTTGTTTTTCCTCAAGAGTCATGGTTTAATGAGATATGTGGAGGAGAAAGAATAGAGGAAAAGTTAAAGATGCGAAAGTGTGCGTGAAAGAAGAACAGAGAGAGAATGGAAAAAGTGTTTTTTCAAGGGAAACACCAGGAGACATGTATGTGCTTTATTAGGGCCGGTATTAATGAAAGGAGAGAGATTAATTTGTAGGAGGTGAAGAGAAGATCTTAAGGAAGGAGAGAGCGAGAGCACAGCGAGAGAGAGAGTGAGAGGGGGGACGATTTGTTCAAGTTGTAGCGTTTATAGTTATAAAGTGTAAAGAATATTTATGGCCTGTCTCTTTTTATTTCTTTCCTCTGGCCGTGCATGTGCGTCAGACACCCTGCTGTCAGCACCGCTCAATGTGACCATCAGAGAACTCGAGGTTAACTCTGCTGTGGTTACGTGGGAAATCTTGGAGGGAGACCCTGTCATCGGATTTGCCATCACCCAACAGGTACCGCTACATGTGTTGTAAAGCCCAGCAGGACTGATATAAATATCAATATTTGGTGATTTAGAGATGCGATTTACCGGCCGATATATTATTTTTTAACTTTCAGCATGATAAGTAGTTTTCGCTAACGTTTGTTATGTGTAGTTTCTTATAAGCCACTGATAAGGTAATATGACGATGCAGTTTAAAAATAATCTCATTTCATTGTCACAAGCCATGGATTGCGCATTTACATTCTGCCCAGCTATGCTCGCATCAGCTGGTTTGTGTTTGCGTGACAGAGTTACAGAGTGCCCTCTGGTGGACAAACTATGCAACACATATATATTTGCAAATGCCTAATAACGCCCTACATATTGCCGATGCTGATATATTGTTATATAGTATATACAGGGAGTGCAGAATTATTAGGCAAATGAGTATTTTGTCCACATCATCCTCTTCATGCATGTTGTCTTACTCCAAGCTGTATAGGCTCGAAAGCCTACTACCAATTAAGCATATTAGGTGATGTGCATCTCTGTAATGAGAAGGGGTGTGGTCTAATGACATCAACACCCTATATCAGGTGTGCATAATTATTAGGCAACTTCCTTTCCTTTGGCAAAATGGGTCAAAAGAAGGACTTGACAGGCTCAGAAAACTCAAAAATAGTGAGATATCTTGCAGAGGGATGCAGCAGTCTCAAAATTGCAAAGCTTCTGAAGCGTGATCATCGAACAATCAAGCGTTTCATTCAAAATAGTCAACAGGGTCGCAAGAAGCGTGTGGAAAAACCAAGGCGCAAAATAACTGCCCATGAACTGAGAAAAGTCAAGTGTGCAGCTGCCAAGATGCCACTTGCCACCAGTTTGGCCATATTTCAGAGCTGCAACATCACTGGAGTGCCCAAAGCATAAGGTGTGCAATACTCAGAGACATGGCCAAGGTAAGAAAGGCTGAAAGACGACCACCACTGAACAAGACACACAAGCTGAAACGTCAAGACTGGGCCAAGAAATATCTCAAGACTGGTTTTTCTAAGGTTTTATGGACTGATGAAATGAGAGTGAGTCTTGATGGGCCAGATGGATGGGCCCGTGGCTGGATGGTAAAGGGCAGAGAGCTCCAGTCCGACTCAGACGCCAGCAAGGTGGAGGTGGAGTACTGGTTTGGGCTGGTATCATCAAAGATGAGCTTGTGGGGCCTTTTCGGGTTGAGGATGGAGTCAAGCTCAACTCCCAGTCCTACTGCCAGTTTCTGGAAGACACCTTCTTCAAGCAGTGGTACAGGAAGAAGTCTGCATCCTTCAAGAAAAACATGATTTTCATGCAGGACAATGCTCCATCACACGCGTCCAAGTACTCCACAGCGTGGCTGGCAAGAAAGGGTATAAAAGAAGAAAAACTAATGACATGGCCACCTTGTTCACCTGATCTGAACCCCATTGAGAACCTGTGGTCCATCATCAAATGTGAGATTTACAAGGAGGGAAAACAGTACACCTCTCTGAACAGTGTCTGGGAGGCTGTGGTTACTGCTGCATGCAATGTTGATGGTGAACAGATCAAAACACTGACAGAATCCATGGATGGTAGGCTTTTGAGTGTCCTTGCAAAGAAAGGTGGCTATATTGGTCGCTGATTTGTTTTTGTTTTGTTTTTGAATGTCAGAAATGTATATTTGTGAATGTGGAGATGTTATATTGGTTTCACTGGTAAAAATAAATAATTGAAATGGGTATATATTTGTTATTTGTTAAGTTGCCTAATAATTATGCACAGTAATAGTCACCTGCACACACAGATATCCCCCTAAAATAGCTAAAACTAAAAACAAACTAAAAACTACTTCCAAAAACATTCAGCTTTGATATTAATGAGTTTTTTGGGTTCATTGCGAACATGGTTGTTGTTCAATAATAAAATTATTCCTCAAAAATACAACTTGCCTAATAATTCTGCACTCCCTGTATGTTGTTCAGGCTCTAATGTGTTGTGTGAGTATGTTATGTGTGGAGAGCGAGTCAAAAATGATGACTTAATCAAACGGAGTACGACTTTTATATAGTGTAGCCCCATTCCTAGAATATCAGTACTCCTGGAATTCTGAGTACTGATTTGGTACTAATACTTTGACTTTGGGTATCTGCTAAATATGCCAGTGATGCACTTGGATCCTGCAGCAGGCCAATGATCTGAAACACACCAGCAACCTCGGAGTCCTCTACCTTTAAATCTGGTTTAAGTCTGACGTCATTAGCCGTGTACAGGTCCAAACTCCTATTCAGGTCCCAAAGTCAAATGAACACTGCGGCATCACTGAAAGTTAAAAACTGTCTAAATTTTTTTATCTTTAATAAAATGATCAGTGTGGCTGCTTTACCAGGTGCAACAATTAAGCTTAACATCCAGACATCCATGAAAACAGAATTTATGAAATTTAGCAGTTAGAAGTTAGCAGGGAGCTAGCTCGCTAGTTTCCACCTAAAAATAATGCATCACGCTCTGACTGAAGGAGTTCTGAAGAAATTAAAACGTACAGCTCTGCTATCGCTTCCGACTTAAATGAAGACAGAAAACTAAACAGTAGTGACGTTTGTAGGGTTACATGAAGTTGTGCTACGTGGTGGCTAGCTGCACAGCTGTGGTTAGCATAATATAAACACATTAGCACAGTGAAGCTGGAGGATGAACGCTAACTTTTTTCCACTCGATAAAAGTTAATGTGAGGGTTCCCGAGGGTTAGGGACAAATGCAATCGCATGGCAGGATGCTGTAAAAGGACCAAACTTCAGTCAGGAGAACAACTGAGATCATCCATCCACAATACGAGGTTAGTCATTAATATACTGCTGGATTGGCTGGGCTCTAGTTACATTGTAAGGTTTTAAAATGAATAGTGGTAGATCGAGAGAGGCCGACAGTGATCACTGACTTTTTTTAGGGGCTTGGTCAGATTGAATAGAACAAAATACAAAAGCATTAAAACATGTTAAAAACACAACAGCCTTAATAAACGCAGAGTAGTTTGGACCCGGAAGCAGGATTCATACGTCACTTAAAGACCAGGTAGCTTAAGAAAAACAAAATGAATACCTTGGAGTGTCAACGTCTTGACCTGAATCCGATTGAGAGGCTGTGACATGACCCTAAAAAGGCAGTTCATGCTAGAAAACCCTCCACTGTGGCTGCATTACAACAATTCTGCAAAGATGAATGAGCCAAAATTCCTCCACAGATGTAAAAGACTCAATGCCAGTTGTCACAAACGCTTGTTTGCAGTTGTTGCTGCTAAGGGTGGCCCAACCAGCTATTAGGTTAAATACAAAATAATGTCAAAAAAGTTCATTTTTCATGCAGCTGATGCCATGGGGACAGTTAAGTCACCACCTGGTTCCACCTGCCCACATAGTTTTCTCTTTTTTGTCACTGTCACTGCATCCATGCTGCAGATTTCAGTAAAGTTGAGTCTGTGGCGCTTCAGCTCTACTCAAGGGAAGCGAGAAAAAGCAGAGTAACTTTTTAAAAAAAATTTAAATGCAATGTGTCAAACAGTTCAACAAACTAACAAACCATTTCTGTGGTAGGTAACAACTGCTCAGCAGGTGACATTTGATGAACTGGAAATGTAAATTTTAATCACACATCAGATCTCTACATGTGATGCTTATTAGGTTATTTCATATTGTGAAATGGCTTTGACAACACATTAAATGATCATTTAAATGTTATTCAGAGGTCATATATCACTGCTACTTTAACCTCCTAGGACCTGGCGTCCACATATGTGGACATCACATTTTAGGGTTGTCTAGACCAAAATAATACATTTTTCTCTACAAGGGCCTGATATCCACTTACGAGGACATTATACTGCCACTGTTCTATCAAAATATAAAGCGAATGTCCTCATATGTGGATCTCATTTTTCTCAGAAACGAAAATCAGGTTAAAAAAAAATCACGTAATTCTTTGTTTTTACATACCATCAGGTCCCAATCAGCCCAAATAGCAAAGAGAAATTAAAAATGCATGCCGTGGAAGAGTTCGGGTCTTAGGAGGTTAAGTCCAGGATAGCTGCAGAGATGTAAGAGAGTGAGAGAGAATAAAGATGGTGGTAAAAAAATAACCCCCACAAGGAAAAAGCTTTAAAAACCTTATTTGTGGGCAAAGTCTGCAAAACCTTAAATTATTTTTGACAGTTCTAGACATAGGATAGTCTAGACATGCAGTTTTTGACCACAAATGGAGTTCATTCAGCTAACGCTTGAAAATAACAGGACTTAATTTTAAAAGGAGTCATCAGTCTTCTGCTTTATGTTGTAGAACTGAACCCATAAAGAGCAGCATACCTCAGAACAAGCAGCCAGCTAACCACAGCCTGTTCACCAAACAAATCTACTAGAGATCACAGTCCAGTGATTATGTCACTTATTACTAAGCGAGTCATATCCCCACTTTTACTGTTACACCAGAACTTAGGGTTGCACCACCTGCCAAATCACATTTTAACCCCTGTTTGTCACCAATGTCCAATTATTGGATATTCGGATCCCTACTTTAGATATCAATATCAAATAAATACCCATGAATCTGTTTAAAATTATTTTTTAAAAGTATTTGTATTACGACGGGAAAAGTTGCCAGAAGATCATCACATTTGAGGTTTTCTTCACAGTTAAAAAGGTCCAGGGATAGTTGTCTGTACATCTATTGGCTAATGGCTAATTCCATATATAGTGTGAAATATGGCACCTTCAAACCACAGGTTTAACATAAATAAACACCAAAAAAAAAGCATGTGAAATCCAAAGTCAGAAAATCATAGCTTAAAAAAAATATCAGAAACTTGTATTTGGCCGTATTGCCAAATACAAATCCAACCTTCCCAAATGCACATGTAGATACAACATACAGTGGGGCAAAAAAGTATTTAGTCAGCCACCAATTGTGCAAGT